CAGAAAGGCAAAATGAGGAAAAGGAAATGCATTTTAAACTTTCTCCTCCAATGGAAGATGAAGAGACATGTGAAAAGAAGTTAGGAATCTTGGGAGTACTTTGATTCCTGTTAATCTGAAGCCTATCTGAAAGAAGAAAATTCTGTCCAGTATCCTGACAGTGGATTCTATGTACAAGACCATTTCACATAGATCAGATGGTTCAATCAGGAGCTAAACGCAGTGTTTCTGGGTGGCCACATGGTCCCATACCCCTGGCATTCTCAGTTTGCAGTTCTTGAGGACCCTTCTCAGAGTGATGAATGTAGGAAGCTTCACACATCCTACCTTGCTCACCATGCCTGTCGGTGCATAATATACATCCAAGCAGCAAGGGAACAGGATTATGAATAAGAATTCCCAAGTACTTCACAGGTAAATAAAACTTCTTGGGTGTTTCCTGATGGGGTTCGCCTTGCACATTCAAGGTCCTTTGAGAAAACACTCAGTTGGACAAGGATATTCAAGAAGCATTTACAAAAACAAGCATAATGATTCCTCCGCACAAAATAGGCAATGCTTTTTCCTTGCCTGGCTCATTGCCAGGGCTCCTTTATCCAACTATGAAAAGGAACAGATTTTTGTTTTGTTTTGTTTTAAGACAGGGTTTCCCTGTAGCCCCACCTAACCTGGAAGTCATCATCTAGACCAGGCTAGTTTTGATCTCACAGAGATCTGCCTGCCTCTGACTCCCATTTGCTGGATTAAAGTTATGTGCCACTACAACGCCCCCCCCCAAAAAAAAGATTAAAAAAAAATTCTAACACATGTAACAAAAGACATGGAGAAAAGTCTAAATGCCATATTGACCTAAGTTCAAGTGATGCATCCATCAGTTGTTAGTGAGCAGGCCCTAAAAATTTCATTTGCCTCTGCTGATCCCCACTCCCTTCCATCCTCTCCACTATCAGAATAGGCGGCAAAACAGCGGTTGACACCAAATCTGTCTTCATAGTTACTGTGGTAGCCACCAACTGGACTGTCCCAGACACTTGACAGCTACTTGCATGTGGGTGCCTGCTACACCTCTACGGGCTGACTGATTTATCCTCAGGAATATTTCCTTTAACCAAAAGCCATGACAGCTAAAGCAAAATTCCAAAGCATAAGAAAAATCTCTCTCACCACTAAGTTCTATATGTGCAGAAGCTCAATAGTTAGGGCTGAAACAGAAGGCATCCTCCTCAGAGAGCATTAAGCCCAATAAGCACATCCTGTTCCCAGCACAGAAAACCTGTAGCCCCACTTCATATTAACTCTGCCTTAAGATCAAGAGTTCAGGAATATCTACCACTATGAAAATGGAGATAGGAAATTTTAGTCGAGATATAAATTTTAGTTGATGAATTTGGCAAACCTTTAAATTTTCCCAAGAGAATAATAAAGCTTATGAAACCAAATATTTTAAATTAAAAATTACAGCTGCTTTGCAGTGCTTTAGAAATTGTCAGAACACATTTGAAAACAGGGATTTAGATTACCTGGCTTGGAGTTGCCAGACAAGTAACATAAAAAAGCCAACTGGCCACAGTAAAATTAGTATTTGTGGGAAGGATGTCAAATTAGAGATGACATGGCCTGAATGTAAACATTCCAATTCAAAACTATGTGCAGCCAAACAAGATATAATTCAAATTTGCATCTTGCCTTTGCACTACAGTTTGCAACCTCCATCTCAAAGAGCAGGAGACATGGACTCCTCCCTCACCATGCTGGACCATCCTACAAGGAAAATGAGCACGGCAGATTGTTGAGGTGGCCTCTGGAGCCAAGCTTCACTGTGTTCCACATCGTCAGCCTTCTCTGGATGACCCATATGTGGAGAGCCATGCCCCACTCTCCAGAACCAGGCACAGTCCCCGCCACTTCTATATCACAAGTCCACTTTAGTCAGGCTCATCTCCACATATAGCCAAGCCATTTCCATATTCATATATTAATAGTCACATTAGTATTATCCTCTTCTCACCTTTTCCACATGACCTCAGATGCCTTTACTTCTTCTAGCCCAAGTCAAATTGAACCTACCTTTTGTTTCATTCATTCATGTTTTGTTTTCTAGTCCATGCAAAGAATACAAAAGTGTGATGAATAACAACATTCTGTGTAGGGTTTGGGGAAGGCTTCACAGAGAGATGACATGGGCACGGAGTTTATATGACTGCACCACTACAGGTAGGGAAAGGACAGAGAGCCCTCTAGGTATGTGCAAAATCTTGAAAGAAACCTCAAAGCCACAGCACATTTGGAGGAATAAGAGGCTTGAGAAGTTGGCAGCAGAATGACTTTTGAGAAAGCCCTTGCTTGGAATGAGAAAATCCTGTTTAACATGTTGAAGTAATAGGACTTGATCCTCAGAGCAAAAGGAATCCAAACTTTATTTTTGTTATTTTGTTTTTATTTTTCTGGGGGCAACAGGACCTGATTTTGGTCAAGGAGTGGCTCAAGCCCATGTGTCCACAGAGTCTGCTCTTTCACCAAAGCATCCTATGGTTATGAACATCCAAACATACCAGATATCCTTAGAGTTCTTACAGGTATCCATGTTTATGATAGCTAGAGAGTACCCGAGGCCAGGTGTGTTTTAGTTAATTTCTGTGTCTTGAACTTTTCTAAGAGATCTAAGAAGTATAAGTTTCATTAATTTCTAACACTACTGATTGGAAGCTTCTAGGAAAGTGTAAGGAAAAACCTAAGTCAAAAATCACTACTTCTCTCACTATGAACCATGAGTCGCAACACCCAGGACCACAGAAGTTAACTTTAAGAGCAAGGATCATTGAGCTCATCCTCCATGAAATTGGACTCTTAACCGTTTCTGTTCACTTGGATCTTACTCCTTTTTGAATGCTGGCCCAAAAGGGATAGGCACTAGCAAATCCCTGGTTCTGAGCATACGCTGTTGACTGGCAGGGTGGAGGACAATCATGCACTTTAAAAGTGCATCTGGTCCTGAAATGAAAGTGCCTGTGCCTACATGTGAATGCCTTAGTGTAGCAGGTTACCATAGCAACCCCAAAAGGGGTTGCAGTGGGCATCTTGGCACAAAGGAACAGAAAACCCATTCTTTAACACCTGAGCTTTGGCTGTATAGTTCATACCCTAGTAGGCATATCCTAGCATTAGGCCCTGGCTTGGGGATTCTGCAAAAAGAGAACAGGAATTCTGAATACTTTCTAGCCCAACCTCCCGTTTTCATCCACAGATGCCCATCTTTATGTACAGTAAATACTGCATGCAGAACCCTAAACTACCTCCTTAGCAACATAAAATTCTCCATATTCATTCTTGTATAGTATGATGAACAGATTGTATTTGCACACCAGCATGACTTCAACATGAACCTTACATTCACTGAATAACTAACAACAAATTGCATGCTGAATGAGCAGCATATCCACATCGTTCCCATTATGCTCATATCCACTACAGTCCCATTCTTAGGCAGCCCCCAGTCTTTATTATGTTATTAGTATTTTTGTGCAAAAATAAATAATCCTTTCAAGTGTGTAGATTGGCTTTAATGGGTTTGACTGAGTTGCACTCCAGGAACTGTAAACGAACTTTTCATAGGACCAGGCAGTTTTTAAAATTACTTTTCCATTGTGGTTCGGGAATGAGGGTTTACCTACTTCCTGATGTTTTTAAGTATAAAGATGTATCTTTGTGAAAGAAAAGAAGGGGAGAAAGGTATAATTTCACCTGTGGCTTCAACCTACACACGGCCATCAGGGAGCCATGTTCCTACAAAGTGAACTTGAGTTTATAGGACATTAAGTAGATCTCTCTCTCTCTCTCTCTCTCTCTCTCTGAATCTAGAGATTGAGTTATAGTTATCTTTAATTTTTCTCCTGGGAAAAATAAGAATATGTACAGCATAAGACTATATATATATATATATATTGTTCTTTGTGGAGAGAGAGAGAGAGAGAGAGAGAGAGAGAGAGAGAGAGAGAGAGAGAGAATTCTGAAGGAATAAATGGCACAACTGAGTATGCACAGCCAACATGGTGAGATGTAGAGTCTCACTTGGAGAAGGGAAGACACTGACATTTGGTTAATTAAGTCACAGGAGCCTGTGATGTTTGGTAAGATGCTGGTAATGAAAAAAGAAAGGTATAGTCAAAAGGATTAAGATTTAATACCTGAAGAAGTTGTGACCCAAGAAAATTACAAAGAAGATATCAGAAGGGAGAGATGTAAACAAAGGAAAGAGCCTCTTGGCCAGGGAGGACATTCTGTGTGCAAAGAAAGAGCAACAGTAACTGACTACAGTTTAGTGATTTCTTTATCCAGTGATTTGGTAATGTGTAATGTGGCTGAATGAGCAGGTTGCTACATTTGGACATAGAGAGAGAACTTCCCAAGGATAAACTCCAGGGATATAAGAAACTTGAGTGTTTGAAAGGGAAGGTCAAAGCCCCATGACAGATGGAAGGTTCAGAATGAGGGAAGACTGGAGACCAATCAGTTCAGTGGAGCCTAGGTATGCTGGCAAGTTGACCAAGGAATTCCCGTTTCTAAAGCCTGGGGATGATTGTGAGAGGGTATGGGCACCCAAGGGTGCGAGGCAAAGCTCTAAGCATGTGGCCAGCAAGCAGACAGACGGGCTTCTGGGAGTTGGTCTGGTAATTGACAAGTGCTATTCAGGAATGCTCCTGAACGAAGCCTGGGGAAGATTTCAGAGATACTCATGCAACCTGTTTCTTTGGGGCAGGGCAGCTGAGGAGAGATGGAGAGCCTGGCCTCCAGATTGGATCTAGGGAGACATCAGGTGCATTGAGACTGAGGCTTGGCCTGTAAGTGGGTGTGGAGAAAGGACCAAGAGTGGGGCGGATCCAGGAAGGTGGTGTGGGGGAGGGGAGGCGGCGGCGGCTAGTGGGTGTGCAGAGCCAGCCGAGTTTGGGGGTGGGGGCTCCAGTACGACGCCTCTGGACACCTTGACCTCCCCCGGGACTCACCCAACACGAAGTAGGGCAGTTCGGTGTTCTCCAGGTCGTCCACCACGACCATTTCTCCGGGGAAGTCATTGCGCACCGAGAAGAGGAGCTTGGGTTCGGAGGCCGAGGGACTGTGCATGATGCTCAGGTCGTTCTCACGCAGAAAGGGCAGCGCTGACACGGTGATGCTCTTGAGCTTGCACTCCAGCTCCTTGGATGGATCCACTTCGCTGGAGGCGGTGGCTAGCACCGCAGCCGGCCCCAAGCAGCAGGCGAGCAGGGCGCAGAGCCCGGCTAAAGCCATCTTGAGCCCGGGCCGCCTTCCTCCCAGCGCTGTGATGGTGGGGGTGGCAGCGAGCGAGCGGGGAGGGAGCAGCGAGCGAGCGCGGGAGGCGGAGGAGGTTGGGGAGGGGACGCAGAGCCTGCGAGCCCTGGTCCCAGAATGAGATGCGGCTCACAGAGCCCTGGTTTCCAGCGCTGAGGTCTGGAGAGCCCCAGCTCTTTGTTTCCAGGCGCTGCTTATCTGGGGAAGAGACACGCGAGGGTGGGGGACGGTGAGAAAAAGGAAAGGAAGGACGTTCGGAGGGAAGAGGAAGACAGATGAGGATTCTAGGGAATCAGGTCAGCCCCCAGCTGGCTGATGATGCTCCTGCCTCTCTCAGGTTCCTGCAGGAACCAGGCTCTTGGCTATTACCTACCTGCGCTGCATTTAAAAAAAAAAAAAAAAAAAAAAAAAAAAAAAAAAAAAAAAAAAAAAATCTTTGTAATGCAAAATTTTTCCTGTCGTATCGTCATTCAAATGGCTTGGGAGAGGCATACATAGGCACACATCTTAAATAATTCTTGAAAACGGATGTGTTGTGTGTAGGGGAGATTATCTTTCTAGATGAAAATTTACCCAGTGATTTTATGGATGTCGCTTACCCTGTTTTTGCCTTTATTTTTAAACCCACTACTTAGGTGGTTTCATCTGTTAGATTAAGAGGATGCTGATATGCACATGTATGTGTTTTTAACCTAGCATGATCTTTGCAGAATATGTAAAGAAAATATTTGCAGTATTGATGTGGATAGACTGATAGAAAAAATATAGACAGCAAAGGAGGAAATCATCAGTACCTCACACTGTTAAGCAAATCAGAACTTTCACTTGTAACTTTTGCCTCATTTCATCTCCCTCACAAGTGTTATGTACAGTAAGCAATAAAATGATGGTGTGGGAAATGCCATAATTGATAGAAAAAGCAGAAATAGCTTAAAGAAATGTTGAGCCCTTAATTTTAGAAAATTCAGTAAATAGAATAGAGCTGAGAGAAAATGTGAGAACTGAAGTTTCTCAGCAATCTTAATCAGTGGGAAAGTATTGAAAGAATATTCCTGGATGTGATCAAGGCCAATCCCAACTCTGTCAAGAAAAGAACAAGGCAGATGTTTAGCCCCTGAGTGACTATTCTTAGGAATAATAGCACCACCACCAACAGTTGATCTCTTCTCCCTAGTGCAGGCTGGTGTTGTCGTTAAAATATGTTGGCTGCTCCCATTGAACTTCGATAGATTAGCAACAGTGGGGAAATGCTGGGATCTGGTATTTAACTGAACTTTCACATAATAACCAGTAACTTACTTCAAAAGTATGCCCTTCCAACATCATTTACTCAGTGGTGATTTAAAGACCAGGGACCTTAAAAGTGAGTTCCTACTCTAGGAAAGTAATTCACCAGCCTTCTCAAATAGGCCCATGGCCTTAGAAACCATTTTCAATCTACCTGGTGTGAATTTATTGAAACATGCAAATGGGTGCCCTTGAAAGACAAAAATGTGTGCCATGCATTTCCAAGATTAATCAAATTGAATATTTCAATCTAGTTGAATCAGTCATATTTAAGGTCACATTTTAAGGGGTGAAAGATCTGTTTACCACCCCCCACAAAAAAAAACCCTTCATTGCAAGTTTTGTTTTCAAATATGACATATCTGAGAATTCACCCAGAGGTGTACTATCATGTGTCACTGCAAACTACTGCAAAAAGATGCATCAGCTAATGACCTCCATTCATCCTCATCTTCATCGCTCCCCTAAGAATGAAGAAGGCAAGAAAGACTTTTTCCTACTCACTAGGCAAATGATTTGCCACTGAATAAAGTTAGAAAACAAAGTTAGTCCTAGTATGTGCGAAACAGCATGAAACTATCAGATCATCTATTAGTTGAATTATTTGTTTAACAGATGAAGAAACTCAGGCCAGTGAAATAGTGAGGTGCCTGACAAGATTGATCTAAAAAGATCCCATGGAATAAAGAGCACAAACAAGATTTCACGGTCATGGATCACAACTCGTTCAGCAAACACAAACACTGGAGTGTCTACCAAATCCTGGACATACACAAATCATGAGCAGAAAAATTCTCTCTCCTGTTTTTGTGTAACATATAACCTACTATAATTTTTAAATCTTCTTAATTTTGAGAAGAATCATGAGTCATGCTAGAAAACACAACTGAAGCATTGTAGGTTTGATTTTCTTTAAGTCATATTGAGTCTGCTTAAAATGTCATAGCTGGATATATCAGAATTTGGTATCTCAAATTTTTATAGGTTCTCAAGTTCTGCATAGGAGTTTAACAAGAGAGGTTATAGAAACAAAAAAAGAGCATATTTTGCCAAACACTTGACTCTTGTATACATGCTTATGTGACATGGTCTTCCTTTCAGGAATTAAATACCTAAAAATGAGGATAGATGTTGCAGTTCACAGAAGTCAGACCATATCTCCTGGACCACGCTTGACTATTAAATGGGATGAGGAAATGGGAGCATTTCTTAGTCATCAGCTTTGTGTAGAGGTGACATGCTGTAGCAAAACAACAGATGGGGTTCAAGTCTTCCCTTCATAATTTTCTTTGGAGGTGAATTTGGACTTTGCTTATCTTTACTTTTCCCATGAAAAGAATGAGCTCAGTCATCTCTGTTGGCCATGATACTATACATGCAAGTATTTATATTCTTTTAAAACTATACAATGCCAACTTCTGTTATCTGTAATCTTGACTTTTCTCCTGCGGTCCACCGTTCTATATTTAAATGTCAGTGGTCTCTTTCCTTGACTCATAATAACTTTTTTATTGCTTTCCCTATCAGTCTCTGTACCTAGGCATCCAGGTACCAGAATTCACAAAATCTTGCTTTCATCTTGTTCTTCTACCTTTTCTGTGTCTATAAAATGAAGTGAAAATGCCATGGCTTAAAATTTTTTAAAAGATTCCAATCTTGTATTATTTATCCACCTAGATTGATGGCACTGTATCTCATCCTTCCCCTGACCATTCTCCACATACACACACCAGCAACATTAAAGCCCATTTCCTATTTTCACTCCTCCCATGCCCTTCTGTTTACCTGAAACACAGTGCTCTTCATTCCTCAGATTGTCACCTCGCTTCATTCCAATTTCTGGCCTCATGGGATCTTCTATCACTTCCTTTTCTCATAGCTCCACTCACTGAGCACTTATTCACACTCAGGCACGTGCATATCCACCCCCACCTACCACCATGCCCTACATGTGCATATACACTCTGTGCATGCACATGCCTTCAAAACAGCAAAGGGCATTTCTGAATATAATGTTTTGTGCACTTAATGTTTTCATTAGTTACATAGAAAAAATATAATACATAGTAGGGTGTTCATGAGGAGGCAATAAGATTATGTATGCAGAGGATTTCATACATTTAGACTTTCAGTTGGTTCTCAGTAGTGATAGCCTTTTCTATTATCAGATAACCAAAATATTTCATATAGAAAGTAGACTTTTGAATAATTTTCACAAGCATTTCTCCAGTGTAAAAGTCAAAAGTAAATTACATGATTTATACTTCTTGGTATTTATTCAGAAAAAATTAAAGAATGTGTGACCCAAAAGACAAGTACAAGAATATTGCTAGCAGATAATCATAATAGTTTAAAATACAGAACAAACCCAAGTATTCATGAATAGGAGGATGAATAAATGTCATGTAGTTATGCAATGGAATACTATATAGTGTTTTGTTTTTTGTTTTTGTTTTTGTTTTTTTTTTAAATACAGCTTCGCCCGGCATTGTGGCACATGCCTGTAGGCCCAGCACTTGGGAGGCAGAGGCAGGTGGATATCTGTGAATTCAAGGCCAACCTGGTCTACGTAGTGAGTTCCAGGACAGCTTGGGCTACAGGGAGACCCTGTCTCAAAAAGACCAAAAAGAAAAGAAAAGAAAAAAGAAATACAGCTTCATGGCTGGAGAGATGGCCCTGAGGTTAAGAGCACTAGCTGTTCTTTCAGAGGACCCAGGTTCTGTTCTTAACACCCAATGGCCCAATGGTAGAGCACTCTATTCCAGGTGAACAGAGGGCATGAGAGGAGTAAAGAGTGGAAATGGGCTTTCATTTTATTGATGTGTGTATGTGGAGGGTGTTCAGGGGATGGATGAGATACAGTTCAGTAAGTCATCAATCTAGGTGGATAAATAATACAAGACTGGAAGATTCTTTAACTCCAGTAACTCCAGTTCCAAGGAATCCAACACCCCCCTTCTGACCTTCATGGGCATCGCACAACAGGGATACACTTACATATGTGCAGGCAATGCACTCATACACATAAATTTAAAATAATAAGTAGAAAAAATACAGCTTCACAGATCAGTCTCCCCGATATTAAATAGGTGAAAGAAACAAGACACAGAATACTATACACTCTAAGATTGTATACTTACAAAATTTAAGAGCAGATAACATTATCCTATGGGAATGGATGTTTGAATAGCAGTCCTCCAGGGAGGACTAGAGGATTTTGACTAAGAAAGGGTAGGAGTTTGCTTCTTGGAATGTTGGAAAATTATGTGAGCAGTAGTTACATCACTGAAAATCCATTCATCAAATTACACACTTGTAGAATTTTTTATTAATGTGTATTTTACCTCATTAAAATTTCATTAGATGATTTATGACACCACAGAAGAGAGCACTGTGAAGTTTCTCTGTTTTCATGTGATCAACTTCACCCCTTTTCCTCCTTGAGAGATCTTAGAACTTCTTTCTTTTCATTGAAATTGGTAACATTTGTTCCACCACTCCTTCCATTTGTCCATGTCCTTGAGTTATTTTACAAGATGCTTGATGTCTAATGTGTTGTCACTGGGGACAGGTTCAGTGGACACTGTCTCTGAGCACCACAGGGATACCTTTCTCAGCAGGTGGGAAACTGCGTTCAGGCATTCAGTGGTTTACTTAGATCATTTATCCTAGTTAAAGAGCTTCAGACAGTGGGTCTATCATTCCCTGGCATGTTTTGTAGCTTAGACACCTGCAGTCTGCCAAAAGTATAACATACACGATGAATAAGGAAAACATGTATGAGATAATAGAGGATGGAACAGGTGAAATTCAGGAATTCTGGGAAATGAAATTTGTAGCTGAGATTGTATGTCTACGCTTTCCTCACTGGCTCAAAACACCTGGCCACCTGAAACTTCTCAGCTAACCCAGATGTATAATGCTTTGACATTTATTGAACCTCTGTACTCTTCTGTTTTTATGTTTTTAAATTAAAAAGCCAATCTCTAATGCTGCTCTCAACTTGAGCAAACTAAATCGTCCCTTCTCTCTTTCTGACTATACTCTACTCTACCTGTTTTCCTGTCACATGATTTAATGGACATTCACCCTACCCCCAACATTCCCTTGCCAGTTTCAACTTCCAGCTCTTCTGTTGAAGTGGATTTGTCTTCAACAATGACTATTCCTTGCTCTTGCCAAAATTTAGTGTAGTGTGCCAGTCAGTGGGGCTTATTTCAACCTCCCACTTTTATTAGAACATCAAATATGCATAGTTCACACCCTTCAATTCAAAGTTAATACTATTCTCCCTCATTCTTTCCCCCTTTCCCTCCCTCTCTTCCTCCAGGCACCCCCTCCCTCTCAGTTCACAGGCTCTGCAACAACACCTGCTTCACAGAAACAAGGCTGGTCCTGTTCTGAGTTCTCTAGTCTTCCTTTAAAAGCTGAGCCCCTCTTCCTGAAACCCACTGGAGTGAAAGGAGGCACACAGAAGGAAGATATCACAGGCAAAACAATTCTCTTTTGGGGAGGAAGCAGGCTTTTTAAATGTCTCCCCAGAATCGAGAAGTTTTCCTCCTTGTTCTGGTGTGGGGGTGGCGAGGTGTCCAGTGCTGTTCAGTGCTTTGGAGGCTATTTCTCTCTGCCTAGGCATCTTATCGAGCTCCTGCTGTCTTTCTCCTCCCTCTCTCCCGTGTATCTCTGGTGTGTGTGTGTGTGTGTGTGTGTGTGTGTGTGTGTGTGTGTGTGTTTGTGTGTGTGTCTGTGGTTTCTCACTGGGGGGCTCACTTCTAATTAAGTAATTCAGGAGGCTTAAAAAGCATAGAACAACCGAATGATACCTCAAATTAGAAAGAGAATGAAGCAAATGGGTGCCTGTCTCTGGAAGTTCTGGTTAAGCAAGCAAACAAAATGGGCTGGGACGATGATTATTGTAACTCAGAAGATTAGAAGAAATGTAATTAGTTCCCCGGCTACTTCTTGCTCCTCAGCTTTCTTAGACTCTGTTACCCTCACCCCCACCCTACCAGCAGCCGCGAATTTATCCAATGCTTCCTTATCCTTGCCCCCCAAAATATATAAATAAATAAATAAAGTCGCTGCTGCAAAGCTGGGAGGGTTAACAGAGCTGGCGCCCCAGACTGCCAGCCAGCCAAAGGAGATAGCCGGTGGGGCTCAGAGCCCGCCCCCTGCCAGGCTGTCCAGCCAATGGGCACTTGTGGGGAGTGTGGGGCTCCCAGCTATTGGCTCCCGGCCTACGTGCATAAGAAAGAAAGAGAGAGGCAGGCAGGGCAGCATTGTTATCTTAAGACACTCATCTGGTGTCTGAGTCTGCAGGTGACACTGGTTAGGTACAGACCGCCGAGTCGGAGCGGGAGCGCGCGGGTCTGCAGCCCTGAGATGGAATCCGCCTGCGTGCCGAGCGGCTCTCGGCTCATCCCGCAGCGCCTCCTCTGAGCTAGGAGGATCCGGGGAGGACTTGAGGGAAATGCACCTGCCGTGCGCTCCGAGGGCACTGGCAGGTCCTTGGACAGCAGACGGAGCTGTGAAGCCGGCGCAGAGGGCTCTGTCCATGTGCAAGGCACTGATTTCGGATGACAGGGCGGGTGAGTCTCTTTAGAGTTGGAAAGAAGTCAAGATCTTTGGGTTTCACCTCGGTGGAGGGACAGGGAACTCCCCAGTTGGCTTCCCACTTTCCTCACCTCTCCCAGCCAGCGTGTGACCCGGCCTAGCGCCGAACCTCCCCACTTCAAACATGCGGTGGGTGCCTGGGATGCTCGCTGCGCAGCCAGAAGGCAGCAGGCAAGTGGTCTAACGGCCGCGGCGGAGGCAACAGCAAAGCCAGCCGAGAGCCAGAAAGAATTTGAGAAGCGACACCGCTCCCTCTCCCAAGCTGAAGGGGAAGCATTCACATTTCCCCAAACAAGAAAGAGCCACAAGAAATTATGAAGTAAAAACTTTGGAAAGCTGCCACTGGAGATGTTGCACACAAATCGGGAATCTTTTACGAGTCTCCTCCCGGTCGTTGGAGGTTTGGGGAGCAGCTGATACAGCCAAGGAGGGCTCTTGCAAGGATTCAAGGTAACTGCAGGGGTTCATGGGTTTTCTGCATCCCCCTTCGTTGTTCTTTCGGTGAAACCACCGGTAAGAGGACTATTTTGCCTTCGTTCAACCCTCTTGCCCTGGTGCCAGGCAAACCGCAAGCAAGGGAACGATTACCATTCCACCTCTTAGTTTCCCTGGTGTGGAGCTTAGCAGTGGACTTTGGGTTTTAGTTGGCTATGGTATTGCCTCCTGGTGTTGCATGGCTGTCACCGAGCTTGGGCTCTCTGCCTGACCTATATTGTTTTGCCTGATTTAAGTCCTCAAAGTTAGCCCAACTCCCATTAGCTTCGGAAAATCCAATCGGCTGCATAATTGCAGAAGATGACAAGGACTTTTGCTTGCTTAGCTGGTACTGAACTGAATTGCACGCGGTTCACTGTATTTGGGGAGGACCCTAAAAATGTGGTATCATGATGCACAATGCATCTGTATTCACATGTTCATAAGTCCTGTAACATGTTTAGATGCCAGTTTGTTTCTTCCATGAACATGCATCTAGGGGGAAAAACATTCCAAAGAGTGAACCCAATAAGGTGCAAATAGTCTTTTTAGGAGCTATAGCAGAAGCCCCATTGATTGAGTTGATCCTAGCAGTGCACTGGAGACACTAAGGGGAGACTATTGCTGTGCTGAAGGCAATGGTGTGTTGATACCATCTAACATATTGCTGGGTCTGTTTCTGTGATCATTTGGGTACACAATCAAATGCTGCCTCTGTGTGTGTGTGTGTGTGTGTGTGTGTGTGTGTGTGTGTGTTATAGCAGAAGCCCCATTGATTGAGTTGATCCTAGCAGTGCACTGGAGACACTAAGGGGAGACTATTGCTGTGCTGAAGGCAATGGTGTGTTGATACCATCTAACATATTGCTGGGTCTGTTTCTGTGATCATTTGGGTACACAATCAAATGCTGCCTCTGTGTGTGTGTGTGTGTGTGTGTGTGTGTGTGTGTGTGTGTACAGCTGTATCTGGGTACACAATCAAATGCTGCCTGTGTGTGTGTGTGTGTGTGTGTGTGTGTGTGTGTGTGTTTTCACAGCTGTATGCAGGAAGCTGGCTGCCCAGAAAAACTAAGCATGCACAACCCCCTGTCCAGGCCACAGATGTTCAGTGAGGGAAGGAACTTGTGCACTGCTGTTCTAGCCCTGAAGAGTTCTCCCTTCACAAAGCAGTCCCTCTGAACAGTATATATTTATCCAGGATATGTAGACTTAAGCCAAATATTAACTGATAATTCGCTGAATGCACTGTAACATGATCGAACAGACCCCTCTGTAAAGAACATCTTGTGTGCTCTTTCCTGTCCTGGGAGCAGGTTTCCCTGAGTAGGAGCAGTTGTGTTAAATGGATAACAATTATAAAAGATAATCTAGACCTTATCCAACAAGGATAGTGATATATTAACACAGGCTAATCAGAAGAATAAGGTGTACCATAAGCCAGTGTCTTTCTCCCTTCACTAGAGATGTACATGTTGATACCCTTCCTCCCCCCACACTCTGTCCATGCTTTCTAGAAGACATGCAATGCCAGTGTTAACCAGGCAGCTAAAGGCTTCTACAAAATCCCCTGGGGGGCCGTCTGATGACATCAGGCAAAGTGATGCTGGAGTTTATGTGTTCTCCCTCTTGATTTCACACAATTGAGCACATGGTATTTGTTTAAGGCATGACCCTCTGGAGTTCCTTCTCACCTGGAATAAGTTGCTATGTAGCATTGAGAACATGACCAGGCAGTGCTGCCACAGTAATCCTACATTACCAATATCACAGCTGCTGCCTGCTATGGGAAAAGATGCATGCTTTGCTTCTTGAAGGAGGTATATGATTTGAAAAGATGCAGAGTAAGAATACTGTGTTTGAGGATAAGAAAACAAACGTCAGACCATAGTCTTCACTGCTGGAGAGCAGCTGGTTCCAAAGGGTTTGACAGCTGGGCTGCAGCCATGGGAAAGACAGAGGCATTCTTGACTCGTATTTCCCTCTTCTCACCAAAAATGGAGCTGTCTTTCCTCTCCCAGAATGGAGTAATGTGTGCTACAGTGTGGAAACTAGAAAGGAGCTGATGAGGGAAGAGCTGGGAATGGCAGATGAACCCTGATCCCCGGATACTGGCCTGGCTTTGAGGGTTAGGAGCATCTTCTCTTCTTGACCCTCAAGATCATCTTCTTGTGCTCCTAGGCGTCCCCTGACAGGTTGTTTACTGAGAAAGGCCAAAGGACACAGAACATCCTGCGTCATCAAGTCCTCCTAATCCCCTTTCCCAAGGCACAGGCTAGCACCTGGGGAGCATAACCTAAGAGAGAGCCCTCTGAGAGGATGCTCCAGAATCCCTCCCCACTCACAAACAAGAGGTAATCTGAATGGACTGGAGATGCTGTGTGGGCACTTTGTGCTGACTGGGATGTTCAGTGTTCAGGTTCCTGGATAGTGTTTAAATAAACATTGTGCAGTGTTATTTCTGGTGATTCAACTCTTTCTCTTAAATAATAAGACTTTGCATACATTTTATAAGGGCATCCTTTCCCAAAGAGCTAGGAGCATTTTCCGGAGCTCCTCTAATTAATCCTCACATGGCTTATTGTCACATTTATCTTTGATTACCCTAAGAAGTAGAACTAGAACGATTTGAGCCTCCTTCTTAGAAAAGGGGGGTTGGCAGAGCAGAACACATCAGATACGTCTCCTTTACCTAGGTCACACAGCAACAGGGGAAAATCATGGAATGGGATCTGGGACCTACACCAACCTCAGTTTCTATGTCCTTCTTCTAAGGAATTGTTTAATCTCAGCAATATTGATGCGACATGGGTTGCTCTATATTTACAAGGCTGGGAGGTTGTCAGGATCCAAAGCTTCTCTGGCACTATGTGAGGGTAATTTGTGATAAAAGCCCTAGAAAGCTTTGCCCTCAGTGGTCTTATATTCTAGTTAGGAAACCAGGCTCACATCTAGACACAGGTAAATGATGTAAGGTCTAAATAACAGTTCAATACAAGAGAAGTCAAAAGGCTGACCTAATTAATCTTCTAATTGATCTGTACTGATAATAAGAGCTATCAGTATTGAAAGAATGGAGAATCTGAGTTGAGTTATAAGGGTTGGGGTGGAATCTTTTTGAATAGGAAGAGAGGGAACAAAGGGTTCCTGTTGATGGAGACACTCATTGTAGCACAGGTGAGAGACTGGAAGCTTGAAGGTTTCCATGATTCTCTGAGGCCACCTCTGTTCTTGCAACCTGGAATTCCTACATATTTGGGTTAATTTTTTTAAACTTGTACTGGCCTAAAGGAAGTTGCTGTAGGAGATAGACAAAAGACTTATAAATTTGGGGCATCTCGTTAAGCATTGAAAATAGTTCCCAACCTTCTACCCGCCCTCAGGTCTAATCTATATACAATAGGAAAAAATATTGCTCAAGGTCAGAGACTTAATCAACCTCCTATCCAAAAAAATTTAATAAGAATATTAAATTTCAAGAAAAACAGTCAAATTTCAAGAAAACAGGAGGAAATCCTCTCATATTTCAGAATCAGAACCTCTTAAGAGAGAGCTTTGATTTTCTTCCATTTCCTATTTCCCCACCCAAATGTTCCTCTTGGGGTTTACTTGGAGCCGGCAAAATGCCAAAGCCCTTAGGCATTTCGCACTGAGCAGAAGATTTTCAATCTTAAGATTCCTGAGCATGCCCATGTACATAACCTCTTGTCTTCCCTTCTTTTTCTCTTTTAATAAAACATATGCTGTAGCAATCACAAAGGAGGAAACCACAAAAAGCAGGAGGGGTGGGGAGCAGTACTGCCCGCAGCTGTACCACAGGGTACTATGATTGTTCAGCAGTACAGTAAAGAGAGGCAACGTGTCAGCCTGGACAGCACCAAGCAGAGACCAAGAGCTGCCATCTACCAGGAGAAGGTTCTGGCCAGCTCTCCACACAGACTTGCTCTAGGAGTGGACCTGGCTCCTGGAGAAAAGGTCAAGAAAAGCACAGATCCCACAAGAGGAGAAGTAACATACAGAACCTATTCCATGATTTTCACTTGGTGTGAAACATTGTGCAGTCTGCATGTCACTGTTTGAGTGGTCCCATTCCTATGATAGGAAAACCTCCTATTGGGCATTAGAGTAGAATGACTCACCAAAATTCATACCATAACTTCTGCAAGTTCAAGAGGAAATTCTCTAGGAACCCACTCTGTTTTTGTGTTTTGGCCTGGGAGTACAACTTAGGATCAGATCTTAAGAGACAAGTACTTTCTCCAGAAAAATCACACCCTCAGTTTTGCTGTCAGCCCTGTTTTCCATGTTAATGACCATGACCCTGGACTTTGGGTGGGGAACCTTCTCTCTTTACTTCTCAGAAGCATCCATTGCTATATTTGGGATTGAGGCAGAGGCCTAGGTATATAGTGTATGGATTTTAGTTTTGGAGAACTTGCTCTGTTTGGGAGAGAAGTGGTAGGAGATTCAGTTATTAAGGTTATAGTGGACTGACTTTCTCTGAGGGTATCAGGGCAGGTTTCCCCCTTTCTAAATTGTTATGCTGGCATGCAGTAATAGCATGTGATCTTCAATGGTCAGCCCATTCCCATCGTTCCTTTTACTGAAACTCACTTATAATGCCAATATACCTGGAATGCTGGACTGGTAAAGGGAAGGAGGCATTACAGGGCAGGATCTACCCTGAGAGCACCAGAGATAGCGTCCAAGCACTTGAAACATGAGTTGTGAATGTAAAATACACATTGGATTTTAAAGATTTAGGTTTTTACAAAACCACGTAAGGGCTAGGTATGTGGTTTAGTTAAATAAAGTGCTCGTCTATCATGCTCAAAGGCCTGAGTTTCACCTCTAGCACCACACAAACAGGACATAGTGGCACATGCCTGTTAATCCCAGTACTTAGGAAGATCTCAAATTTAAGGTCACTTTTGGCTATATAGAGATTACCAGGCCAAACTGGGATACATGAGATTCTG